TGCTCTCGGCGCACTACACCGGGTCGCGCAACATCAGCTCCGACACCACCGATGTGGGCGAGGACGCCTCGCTGGCATCTGGATTCCCAGCAGACTTTGCACACAACCCAGCAATCCCTGTCTTGTCGCTGGACGAAGAAACCCTGCGCGACCTGCGGCGCACCGTGTCGCACTATGCCACCCGCGCCCTGCGCACGATCGGCATGGCGTACCGCGACTTTTCGACATTCGACGAGGCCCAGCTGGCGCAGCAGGAGTCGCTAGATGCCGAGTGGCGCGAATCCGCGGGTCTTGTGTGCTTGGGTATCTTTGCCATCGAGGACCCGCTGCGCGAGGGCGTGACGGATGCCGTGCGTAGGTGCCAGAATGCAGGAATCATTGTGCGGATGGTCACCGGAGACAATGTTCTGACCGCCAGAGCAATCGCTACCCAGTGCGGCATCTACACGCCGGGAATGGGCGGCGTGGTTCTTGAGGGCCCAAAGTTCCGCAAACTGACCCCAGAGCAGATGGACGTCATCATCCCAAGGCTGCAGGTGCTTGCGCGCTCGTCGCCCGAGGATAAGCGGATGCTGGTTGAGTGGCTGCGCACGCATGGCGAGGTTGTGTCAGTCACTGGCGATGGCACCAACGACGGTCCTGCGCTGAAGGCGGCCAATGTCGGGTTCAGCATGGGCATTGCGGGCACCGAGGTTGCTAAAGAGGCGTCGTCGATTGTGGTCATGGACGACAACTTCAAATCCATTGTGCGTGCGTGCATGTGGGGCCGCACCGTGAACGATGCGGTGAAGAAGTTCTTGCAGTTCCAGATCACAGTCAATGTCACTGCAGTCCTCATTGCCTTCGTGTCGGCGGTTGCCGACAAGGAGGAGCAGTCGGTGTTTACAGCTGTACAACTGCTGTGGATCAACCTCATCATGGACACATTTGCCGCCCTGGCGCTGGCCACCGACCCACCAAGCGAGGACATCCTGGATAGGTATCCAGAGAAGCAGAACTCGCCGCTGATCACATTTACGATGTGGAAGAACATCATCGGGCAGGCCATCTTCCAGGTCGTCGTGTGCTTCCTCACCTTGTACGCGGCCGACGACATTTTCCACTTGCACACGGTGCAGAGCTCCCATGACATGCTCGTTCTCCGCACGCTGGTGTTCAACACGTTTGCGTGGATGCAGATCTTCAACGAGTTTAACTGCCGCGTTCTGCATAACGAGAAGAACTGCTTCACGGGCATGCTGAAGAACTGGTTCTTCGTTGGCATTGTTTTAATCTCTGTCATTGGCCAGATCATAATTGTGCAGTGGGGCGGCGTTGCATTCCAGACTACGGCGCTCAGCGGCAAGTACTGGGCGTTCTCCATTGTTGCTGGGTTCCTCTCCCTGCCCGTCGGCCTGATTCTGAGGCTTATCCCGGACCAGCTGGTCTGGTGGATGCTGCCGTTTGTCCCCCAGGACATTTACAAGAAGCCGCTGAGTCTGGAGTGGCAGCCGCCTGCGCAGAGTGTCCGGAGCAAGCTTGTGGGTGGCGACGGAGCCAAAGCTGCTCCTGGCCAGGACGCCGGTGCTGCTGGTAGAGGCAGACGGCGTGCAAGCAGTGCTGGTGGGGATGCCGATTTGTCTATGCCCCTTGACAACGGTAGCGGTGGAATCAAGTCGTCGATGTTCAAGTTTGGTGCTGATCTGACCAGGCGTGTGCGCACGTCACATGCAAGAAACAACAACAACAACAACAACAACAACAGCTGGCAGCAGCAGCAGCAGCAGGCGAGTGGAGATGGATCCGTACCGCCTCCTGGATATCTCGAGGCTGTTGCACAGGAGGACTCTGCAGCGGTAACAGCTGACGGCCATGCTGCCATGGCGGAAAACCAGCTCAACACCCAGCACCAGCAGCACCAGCAGCACCAGCAGCACCAGCAGCAACATCGGAGGAAGCGTAGTGGAGCCAACAGCGAAAACCAGCCAAAGAACATATTGGCCGCTGCTATGGTTCCCTCGATGGTTGCCAGTAGTATTGGAATCGGCATGTCCACAAGCGCAATGCCGCCGAACAAGATGACGCTTGCAGAGCTGGTTGACCAGGAACTCGAAAGAGGCGCACAGGCTTCGTCCTCTAGCCCCTCTCAGGAACAGGAGCAAGCACAGGACAAGCCCGAGTCAAAATAGAAGAGTAAAAATGCACCTTTTTTTAGTTTAATGAATATTCTTGTCCTGATGCCACCAACACGCTGTCTGCCGGACACGGTGGACAATCAGCACTTTTTAAAGAGCGAATATAATGCCGCCTCAAGCTGCAAACAGATTTGGAGACCTCCTCGGTGTTGGCAAGCAGCCTTTGAGGGCAGGCGCTGTTTCTGCTTTTGGCTGCGGCTAGGCTGCATTTGGTGATATAATTAAATGCGACCATGACGCCCGCTGATGTATGAGAAGCAGCAGCGACAGCAGCACATGTATGGCGGCTGGCGCCGTAGGTGTGTAATTAGGGACACTTTTCGTGGCGAATAGAATGAATACGGAAGGACGGGGGACATGGGGGAGGGCATGGCCCCGTGAACAAGACACGATAATGACTCGCGGCATGACTAACGCCCCCCAGCGGCAAAAACATCTGCAAGACTGGCTTTTCCATTGTTTTGTAAAAGTGCGCAAGGCGGGAGGGAGCAGCAGTGCAGCCTAGTGACAGAGCAAAACGACAAACAGGCCACAATTGTGAAGGGGCGGGGAGTGCTTTTCTCCCTGCGGAAATCATCTTGCATTTCTATTCTCTTGGGTTGGCTCTGCGCGCTGGAAATGTAACTGCCGCTGTTCTTTTCGTTTACATTGAGTTTGTTGTATGGCTGCCAGGACTTGACAGCGCGAAATTGCACAGAAAGAAAATGGGATGCAAGAGAGCACAGCACACACGATAAAGAGATATGTGGTGTGTTGAAAAAGGCAGCAAGGAAGATAGGCAAAGATTAGCTAAGCAGCGCGTCATTGGTGATGCTGTGTCTGAATAAGCATAGTGTATTCCGGGTTGCCTGGGAAAGGGGCGAAAGCAAGGCAGCAGTGTTTTCCAATCCGCTTGCATATATATGCATGTGCACAAACAAAAGGCACAATTGATATCGGATACGACCCGTGATATCGACAGATGCGCATCTTTGAGTCAATAGATAGGGGGAGGCGGGTTAGGCGACGAGAAAAGGGAGCAGATTCAACGCCAGTGCATGCATTTCTTCTCATGGTGGAGATGTGGGGTTCATGGGGTGTGGCAGCATCGGTGCAGGCATACTATGTGCACATTCCGGCTGCATTCATTGCCATTTGCATATATGGCCGACCACAATGCCTCATCGGCACATACAATTACTGCAAAAGAAATGCCGCATTCAGCGACAGTGCACAAAGGTGTGGAGGGAAAGTGGGGTGTCTGACTGCCTGCAGCGCAGGCGTGAGCAAGCAAACGCTTTGGCAAAGGCCATACCAAAAGCATGAGTGGCTAGCCCGTACCCGCCAGCTACTTAGAGCAGACGGGAAAAGCTATGTGCGCTTGCGAGTGTCTTCTAGCTTAGGCTGCTTGATGTCCGCACCAAGTGGCATTCTGCCGACTCTTGTGCGCCACTGACTATTTCTGATAGTTGGTATGAACCGGAGACTGGCAGTGGCTCCTTTGTGAGTGCCCGATTGCAGCATGCTTTGCAGCGCTTCTTGCCAGATTTTTGTAGGTGCTAATTTGCGCATGTGCTGAGTAGGATGAAGGACAGCAGGTTTCTAATTGGGCGATTGGATGGGGTGTCTAGTACACGGCGTGTGGGGTTGGGATTAGCTGAGTTGTATGCGGCATGGCCAGTGTTTTCCTTCACATCGGACAAGGATAAAGGCTGTGCTTGGAATGTACATGAAAAAGAGCAAACACAGTATTCCCCCGCACTGTCCCTGTTTTTGTTGCCTGACGCCTTTGTATTATTTTTCTTTGCTGATTTTGCATGTCCATAGCAAGCTTATCGATTTCAATTTGGTGGGGAGGGGGCCAAGGAGTGGACAGCAGCTGCAATGGGGGATATGCTGGCTGTAATAATCAATACTGGTGAGTATGCATGCATATCCCTTTCACCCGTCCTACCACACCTTGCTTCGATTTTCGCATATAAAAACATGCCACCGGCCAATTCCCTCCACCAGCTCTGTCCTCGCATTCTCGTCCAACACGCGCATCCGCATTCCCAACGACATACACCTTCCTTGAAATACAGCACACCTTGCCCTAATAACACGCTCACCCCACCTTTAGCACCTGGCTAGCGATGTCGATTAAACACATCTTTCATCGGCTGTTCATGCGGTCCGAGTGGAGATGCAACGAGTGCGGGTGGACTAGCGAGGATGAGGCTGCGAAGGACGAGCACCAGTACGCGTACGGACACTACGACTGGGCTTATATCCACTATCTCTAGTTGCCTAGGCACGTGCCATCAATGTACAGCTCCTCCAGCGCCCTCTTACTCTTGGTAACAACATAGCATCGCTAGTAGTAGCATAGCCTTTTTTCTTTTACATTCAAATGTACTCTCCAAGGATTACACAGCAAGGCAAGTGGCCGCAGTTTGCATAGGCTCGCTCTTTCCTCACCTTCTCCCGAACTCAAACATGTAATCGCTTGCTACAGTGGCATGCAATCTGGCTATGGCTTCAGCTACACTATTGCCCCGCTTGACGTATGTGGCTGCTCTGCGGTATTGGATCTACAGCAAAACACATGTGCTCTTCTTCCGCCTTGACTTGGTCTTGCTGTGATTTCCAACATCAAAACAACAACATCAGAGCGCCTCAGGCAATTGCCGCACACAGGTGATCTTTCTGGTCACCAACCAGCCGATACCTGCTGTTCAATTGCGCTTCCAAAAAAAAAAAAACAAAGTATCTGCCGCACGCCTAGCACCAACAGGCAGAAAAAGGGCAAGAAGCTAAGACCCCATCCGCACCCACCCAGCCAAACTCTTGGGCCAGGAGGTGCTTTGTCCTGTGTGGGGCTCGAGCTCACGATCTTCGGACTATGTGACCAACGCTCTGCCAATTGAGTCAACAAGACCTGCGGAACGGGATCTCAGCCCAAGTTCCGGCCGCCAGATCCCAGAATCACGTGCACTTCGCAATTACACAATCAGATCAGTCCTTGCGCCAGAAGAATATACATGCTTTATTAGCCATTAGCACGAGTGGCCAACACAGTCTAGGCCTGGCGGTATCGCAGGTAGACGTTTGAATACAAGAGGCTGACAATCTCGTCTTTCACCCCATCCAGCAGCCCAAACGCAACCTGGCCGCCCGTCAGATACTTCCGAGAAGAAGCGACAACATTGCTGGATGTGTTGATGGCCAATGGCGACTCGGGCAGTATGAACGTCCTGATAATGGCGCTCAAAGGAATGCGGAGGTTTTCCGAAACCAGTGTGCCACTAGTGATGCCAAGGTGTGGGAAGGCGTGTGCCATGGACTCAGCAATCCCGACAGCCAAACTCGCCAGGTTTGCATTGATGATCGCTGGCGTCTTTGCTTCAGCGGCCTCGATCTGCTTAGGCTCCGGATACCTGCTCTCTCTTTTTCTCTGCACATGCGATTCCTTGCTTGACAGCAGCAGTTTGAGGTGTCGTTGGGATTTCGCGTGGTGCATCCGATCGGTACTCTTGTGAGACTTGCTCGAGTGTGGCGAGCTACGTAATGGAGCATCCTCTAGTGAGCCACGCGAGGATTTGGCTGTTGCAATAGATGGCGGCGGTGAGTGAAGGTCAGCGCTGCCACGGTCATGGTGATTCTGTGAAATGAGAGCTGCTTGAGCGATACCGTCCTGAATATCCAGGTAGATGCTCGCCTTGAAAGCCAGATACACATCCAGAAACGACACCAGCTCTGTGCAGAAGCAGCTGTTGGCGAATCGACGTATTTTCTCGTGCTCGCTGGTGTCTTGCATTGCGGCAAGAAACGACTGCTTGCTCAGACTTCCCTGAGAGTGCGCTTGGTCACTTGCACCTCCAGGGATCCCATCCTCTTGAGCGCGCTCGGTGTCCAGCGATCCCCTTCGCTGCTTTCGGCCGAAGCGTATTGAGACGATGGTTGGGATAACTATAAAGTATGTGTATACGGAGACGATCTGGGCCAAAAAGAAGAGCGACGCCGAAATGTATGTGTCGATGTCATGTGCAATGAACCGCCATATTATTGCACCAGCCCACATCAGGGTTCCTAGCGTGAAGGATATGCATATTGAGTTGCGGATTCCGTAGGCATCGCGGTACGACCAAATCAGGATAACGTACGCCGGGCAGATTATCACGTTGAATATGCCTGTTATCACAGAGATAGGATAAAATTCCCATCCGTTGGTGCAGTTATAGTGCAGGGGCCTGAGCGCCATCTCCTTAGCAAAAATGTTTAAAATGATCATGAGGACCACCATTATTGCCAGGAACCCAACAAAGACCCAAGCGGCAAACCGATCCGACTGTATCCTCCTGGACCATGTTGCTTTGAGGCTAAGTCGAACGGCTGGAATATGTTCATGTGGCATGGAGTGCTGATCCTGCAACCGCTCACCCACATGTGCTGTGTCTGGTGGTTCTGCAAAAGGCGCAACCTCCGCCTTGTTGGTGTCTAGTGGCTGCTGTTGACTACTGCGTTCATCGGCTGCTATCTCCTGGTTTGCATTTGCTTTCAAGTTGGTGCTGCGGACATGGGGGTGGTCGACTTTGGATACAAGTGCAGGGATTGGCGATCTTATTCTGCTATCAAAGTTGTCAGTGTCGTGGTGTTGTCGCGGCGATGCCTGGCTGTCGCTGTTTTGCCAAAATCCATGATTGCTCATCGACTGAAGGTGGAACAGGTAAACCACCAAATTGCTTGGTGTCACGGGATTCTTGCGTGTTTCCCTGCCAAATATTCTATGCGAATGCGCCAGCACGTAGTATCGAGCCATGTTAAGTAGCAGCGATAGCATCCACATGTGATAGCACAGGTAAATCAGCCAGGCGTCGACAAAGCATGGATAGTTTGCTACGATACCATGCAAGAGCCCGTTTATACCATACAGAGTGCCTGATACCACTTGCACAGTAAGAAGGAACGGCGATCGTCTAAGCAGAGCCTTGTCCCTCAGCCGAAGTGCCCGATACAAGTATGCAGCAAATGTGACGATGGTAAACACTACGAATGTACACAAAATCGGGACAAAGATTATCCAAAACGTATCTGGGCTGCTATTGACGTGTCCATATCTATTTGGATGCACACCAGACAAACGCATATGGTGGGTGCCCCTTTCTCCACTGCTGGTTGGTGTTAGTGCGGCGTGGTGCAGGCCGCTCATCGTAAGAGGTGGCAAAGGGCCATTATCATAGCTGCTGTAGAGTGAAGTGTTGAGCGATGTTTTACTTCTATATTACAAAGGGAGGCGGATAGAAGTTTAGAAATGGGAGAGAAAATGTACAAAAGCACACACTCTTGCTGGCTTCAGCATCCACGCTCATTCTTGCATGACAGGTAGCCACCAGTCTAGTCCACCCTTCTCCACATGCATATCCACACTATTTTATGAATCAGGAGCTAGGGAGCCATATTGGCCAGGTACATTTAACTTTCTGTCAAACGCAGCCCGCTCATTCGAGAAAAATGTTTTGCATAAAAAGGCGTTTGAATGACTAGCTAACTATTACTGCGTTGCAAGATGCTGGCTATGCAGCATGCTCAGAATGGGCCTAGATTAAGTTATAGCGCAGGGGTTCAGTCACTGCGAAATGTCTGGTATGGACAGCGCTGTGCTGCAAGGGGCCGATTTTCAGTGCTATTGGAGATAGGCTTTACTACTCGCGGTACCGAAGATAGACGTTCAAATACAAAAGGTCCACCACCTCGTCCTTTATCTTGTCCAATGACCCAAATGTGAACTGGCCACCTGCGAGATAAGCATGGGCCGTGTCCACGACACAGCTGGATGCGTTGATTGCAAACGGCGACTCGGGAAGTGTGAACGTTTTGATTGTGGAGTTAAGGGAGTCGCGCAGATTCTCCGACACAGGCGTAGAGCTGTCAATGGTCATATCAGGGAAATAATACACCATTGTTCCACTGACCCCGACAGTCAGGCTTGTCAGAATCGCAGAATCGCGTGTCTGTGTCGTTGCCTGGACAGTCCTGCTATGGTCGGAGTCTGGGTGCTTAATCCCGCTCTTTCTTTGCGGAAGCGACTCCTTGCTGGGGTGCAGCATCTTGAACAATCGACACCCTTTCAAGTATTGCATCCGACCCGTGGTGTCCTGAAACTCGCTAGAGCGGTGTGCAGAGCCCAAGCGTGGAGAAACATTCGTCTGAGCGATTCTTAGAGATGCATGCGAAGACTCGGCACTAGCTATTGATGGGGGCAGGGAGTGTGCAGCAGCGCTATTTTGGATGTGGATTCGCTGCAAACTGGTGGCTGTCGGGACGCCGTTGCTTTGAATATCCAAAAATATGCTGGCCTTCAGTGCCAGATACACGTCCAGGAAGATTATCAGCTCGGTACAGAAACAGGAGCTGGCGAACTTGCGGATTTTTTCATGCTCAGTGGTATCTTGCATGGCAGCGAGGAGCGACTGCTTGCTCAAGTCTCCCTGAAAGCTTCCTCGATTGCCCAGAATGGCAGGGGCCCCATGCTCCTTGGCACGCTCCGTATCCGACGACCCTCTTCGCTGCTTTTGGCCAAACCGGATGGAGGTGATGGTTGGAACAACTATAAAGTTCACGTAGACGGTGAAAATTTCGGCCAGGTAGAAGAGGGACGGCGACACGTACGTGCTGACATCGGCTCCTATTATGCGCCATGTTAGCGCCCCGGCCCACATCAAAACACCCAGTGTAAAGCAGATGAATATCGAATTGCGGATCCCGTAGGCATCATGGTACGGCCAAATCAGAATAATGTATGCCGGACAGACGATTACGTGGAACACACCGGTAGTAACAATGAGGGGATAGAATTCCCACCCGTTGACGCAGTTGTAGAATATGCGGTTGAGCCTCATCTGCGGTGAGAAAATGTTCAAGATGATCAGCAAAACGACCAGGGTTGCTACGAACCCACATACAACCCAAGCAACGAAGCGGTTCGACTGTGTTCTTCTGGACCATATTGCCTTACGGCTAGGTCTAACAACTGGCTCCGAATTAAGCAGGTTCTGCTGGTGGCTCTGGATATCTCCACCGATAGGTGCGGCATCTGGAGGCTCCGCAAAAGGCGCGATTTCGGTTTTACTAGTGTCTGGCTGCTGCTGCTGATCATGGAAGCGGCGCAGTTTGGATATCATGGCGGGTATTGACGACCTCTTTGTGCGACCAAGGCCATCAGTGTCAGAACGCTGCTGCGGCGATTTCTGATCGTTGCTGTTTTGCCAAAACTCATGGCTACTCATCGACTGAAGATGGGACAGGTAAGCCACTAGATTTTCTGGCGTCACAGGATTCTTGCGTGTTTCCCTGCCAAATATGCGGTGGGAATGCGCCAGCACGTAGTGGCGAGCCATATTCAGAAGCAGCGATAGCATCCATGTGTGATAGCACAGGTAAATCAACCACACGTCGATGAAGCATGGGTAATTGGTAACCATGCCATGCAATATTCCGTTCGCACTGTACAGCGTGCCTGATACCACTTGCACAGTAAGAAGGAACGGCGACCGCCTAAGCAGAGCCTTGTCCCTCAGCCGAAGTGCCCGATACAAGTATGCAGCAAATGTGACGACAGTAAACACTATCAATGTACACAAAATCGGAGCATAAGCGATCAAGTTTGTGTTCGGACCATTCTTGACAAACCCATGAATGTTGGGGTATATGCCGGGTATATGTATATCGCGGATAGCCATCTCTCCGTCGCTTCGTTTGACGCTCGAACCGTATGGCAGTATCTGCTTATTGCAAGGACTGATATAAAACAAGTAACATAGCGGCGATTCAAATGTATGAGCCTTTGCACACGTCGCACATGATATGGTACAGAGGAAACTTTTGGAGAAGAGAAAAATCAGCTGCCTTGCGGTTTGCGATTTCATATTTTGCACCTGC